AATACCTATATCGTCTATTTGTTTTAAACAAAGTCCTACAAATTTTTGTCTTTCAGTAAAAGAAGTGAATCCTATACATCTAGGGAAAAAAGTAAATGATTTTGAAAAGACTGAAACTAATCTCTGAGTTGCAAAAAACAATGATTTACTGAAATATGTGTAAACTCCTCAGCAGGTGGCAGCACAAAGTTATTTACAATGTCATATTAATTCTGTTCTCTATTAAGTAATTTGTTCTTAAATTTGCAATAAAAAACTCCCTACTATTAGATAATTATACCGGGTGGAAGAGTTAATAAGAAAAATCAGGCAGGCTGTTTATATTCCAGTTCTTCAGGATCACTTCAGCTGCATCTAGTGTGCTGTCTTTCTGCAAAACAAGACATATCACTATTACTGCACGTGTGGAGTTCTTGGAAAGAGAGTAGCAGTCATGATTATATCATCCCAAATCAATATTTGGCAGTGTCACTTGCATCCTGTAAATATCTGTCAGTCAGTTTTTCCTTAACAGTTATAGCTACAGATCTAGACTACACGAAGACTGCAATGCTGATACCTTGCAAATATTTATTAGGTGTATTTAAAAGATAAGGTATTTTCTCAGCATTCATACTATCAAATTTAATGAAAGTAATATTTCTTACATAAATGCCCCGTGTTTATGAAGTGATGTTCTTGGCAGCTCTATACTGCTAGCGTAGTCTCCTAATCTTTATGTGTACAGTTGGGATTTTTAAATCTCCATGCAACCAAGTTATGGTGTGAACTACTTAAACATAATCCCTCTAAATATGGGTAATCTATCCACTGGCCAGTTGTGTGGCTTGGCTACAACCTGGTGAGTCATACAAGTAGTCTTTAACTTGACATGATTAGTGCTGTTCATCCTGGGCAAGCCACATTTACAACCAGCAAGTTCCACCCTGGTTGCTACTGGCTCGGTTTATATGATCGTCTTTATACCTCATCAAAAGAACTAAGGAACACAAGCAGAACTTCCCCTTCATTACTGGTTCAAGCTAAGGCTCCTCTAATTTTTACACTAGGAACAGTTAAGGAGTTGCACATGTTTCATTGTGCTGACCCTGTTACAGAACAATCAGGAAATGTCTTAGGGCTGTGGGCTTATCAAAGCTTATGTACCTGTCCCCAAAGTCTGTCAGTCTTTTCAAGAACAGATTCAACAGGGGGAAGAGTATGTGAAAAGGAGGTGCTCACAAAATAGCAAGAGTCAGCCAAGTCACAAAAAACACATAAGAGAACTTCTGTGTCTTCGTATTCTTTTGTAATTTGGAGCTCGTGTGAAACTCAATGTATTTTCAGGCAAGTGAGCTAAACTTGAAGGTGACCTCTTCACTGGTTTTGTTGCTGGAAACTGAATGGGCATGGGGTAATACCGCTCTGCTCCACAATTATCCTCTGCTCTGGATTATAGAATTCACCTTAATTGATAGCGTACCTGTGTCCTTCATTTTCACTGTCACCACTGGTCAAGAAAGTTTTTAAAAACCAATAGAGTAAGCTAAAAAAGGCCTACCCACCCAGTTGTTTTCTGCCAGTTGCCCTTCTTAGCCATGGCACCCACATTTGTGGTTTAAAGTCTGTCAGCAAAAAGACAGTTCAAGCTACTTTGTGCTGAATTTTATACCGAGCTAACTTTCTGTTCCTAAAACCATCCAACTCAGGAGATCCTGGGCAAAATGTGAGAATCAGTCTCTTGCAGATTCTGTACTGTGCTGATTTTTAGGAGTCTTCCCAGGACATAAATTTACCTTAATGAAGCAAAAACGTATATATTTTTCAAACTGCCTTTTTGTCTCAGGGCCACAGAATGCTGAAAGAGGAATTGCTGACAGCTTCTGAAACATAAACCAGAAACATTATATGCTTATTTTATGTATATATAAAAAAATCTGTTTAAGTGTGATGATCTTACTATACCATTTCTAGGACTCGCCCTCCCAACATGCGAGGGAAAGACAAAGTTTGGTTTTGTATGCGCTAGCTAGGTTTAACTAAATTAAAATTACTTTTCTTAGGCAAAACATTTCACAGGTACTTTTGTACAACTAGCATTTAAGCATGCTGAAAGAAAAGTGCTGGGACGTAACACAAACTTACAGGGTACATTTTCAGCGTATTTAGCAATCTTTTAGCCACATCTTTATCAGCAGTTACCATAAACACCAAATAATATTTTGAATGGACTATCTCTACCACATTATTTAATAACTACAGTTGCACTGCTCTTGCTTTCAATAGAAAAGCATTTCTAAAACTACAGTATGGCTAAGACACCTTACCTTAGATGTTATCATCCATTTGACAAATTCATAATCATAAGGTTTTTTCTCATCTACATCAGAGAGATTCACATCTAAAAAAGTTAAATTTAAAACAAACATGATGTCAGATTTCCTAGACTCCATTGGGAAGGCATTCATTAACAGCATTTTATTATAGTTAATACTTAAGAATAAAGATGTATGCTTTTATTTTAAAATACAATTTTAAAATTATACTATAACAACTAAAATAGGCCAACAGATTGAACCTTTCCCTTCGGACCTGAGCACTTGCTTTCCATTCAAAGCAAATCCAGACATGTAGCTTAGAAGACAGCCATGCAGTACTGCAAGAAGTCCTCAAGTCTGGGTTATTGAGGCATCAGAACAGTGGGGTGTACTGAAGGGTGTATTTATTGCATGGACAGAGATACTCACTGCAACTGCAGTTTTCTCATCTGTGAAACTGGGGTATCTAAAACTTTTTGACACATGGTAGCACTGCAAGGTCCAGCTGTGTTTAAACATTCCTGAGTGAATGACAAGTGCCATTAGGGCCAGTTAGTGAAAAATGTCCAAGTAGAAAATGTTCCCCTGTGGAAATTCTTCCTCCAAAGTTACTGTAACCTGAATTTCCAAAAGGTTTTATAAGCATTTCACAGTGTTTAGAAATCAGAACGCTTCAAAGAGCCTTCAGGGTATGACTTCAGATTAAGAAAAACAAACGAAAAAACAGAAAGTATAAATGGTACAAACTCAGGATATTAAGCCTGGTGCTTGGCTCTCTAACTTTTTCATAATCATAGACTTTTTGAAAATAGAAATTTTTATCCACCTCCTTTATCCTCCCTAAAACCTTGCCAAAGCTTTGCAAAACACAGACAATAGTTAGGATCGCAAACAAAAGCTTTGCTGAAGCTTATAAAATCTACCTCCCAGGCCAAGGTCAAACAGAAAGTTTCCATCCCAGTCAGTATTTCTGACGACATTATGCAAACATGAAATGAAAATATAGTTTAAAATGAAAGTTGCATTTTCAAATTTAACTATAATATTTGCTTTCCATGCCCTTTTTAATAAACTTTATACTAACTTAACGTAGAAACATCAACAATCATAAAGTATCCTCCATCTGGAATGACAGGCTTTAGTCCAGCTTCTTGAAGTAGCTGAGCCATCCGATCACGCTTGCTTTCCAGTTCTCGAGACAGTGAGTAAAAATAGCACTCTGGGTCATCCATGCGTTTATAGTCTATCCAAAATGCTTGTGCCAAGGCCTCCTGGAAACATAATCAATGTTCAGAGTACTCATGGACACTCAGTAAACTCACAGACACTCACTTCCTACTAAAATCACATGGATTTTTCTTCAATTTTGCCCCTTATTAAGCAAATCAGCATATACAAATTACTCAAGCTACATCCAAGTGTGTAGTTTGTTTGTTACTTTGTGCTGTGGCAACACCCAAAGCACCCAATCATTTGCTAGGCACTAATCACATACAGCAGTCACAGTCCTTGACACAAGGGTTTACAACCTGAATTTAAGCCAAGTTTAAATTATTGATAATAATGTATCATAGAATACCAGAAACTAGTAGACAGAGATAATGCTCAGTAAAACAAGACCTTATTGCAACAACTTTTATTTGTATTTGCTAGGAAACCACTAAGATTGTCATGTTTTATGCAAGAAGCAGCAGTTTGTAGGTGAAAGAAGAAACAATCTGCAAGACTGATTTTTTTTTTTTAAATGTCTGGTGAGCTGATCAAATTTGTCTCCTCTTCTTGCACCCCAGAATATATATTTTGGCAATTAAAAATTCATTGTTGTGATTATTGTTTTATTACGGTGAGGCCTACAGTTTTGCTACACCAGCAAATAACCTCCTCTGCCCCATCTGTACCTACCTGTAGTGGAGTTGGGCAGGTATACAGTGTATTTTGGTGAACAACTTGCAAATGCTTAATCAGGTTCTGGGGGCCAATAGACCAACCAAGCTAAAGGAAGAAAGCATGCATATGTTACACTTACAGCAGTGGTGTTAATAAAAATTAACAAAGAATTAAAATTAGCCAGTATCTCAAGGTTTTCTATTTTAAGAACTGGTAGTGAATTTGTTTTGATAAAGAATTAAGAGCTGGTTTACACAAAGTTTGCTGAACGATGCCATTAAAAAAAATTTCTAGATTTGAGACAACAGCTACAGTTTCACTCTAGGTACTCTAGTTTTGCTCTAGGTGAACCTGATTTAGCAGGAGGGTTGGACTAGATGATCTCCTGAGGTCCTTTCCAACCCTTGCCATTCTGTGATTCTCCCTATCTCTCATAGGGTACTGAGCAAACTTTTAACTCTTCATGTAACAAGGGTTAGAAATCAAACTGAGCATTTATTAGGAATGCTATTCCTAATTGGCTTAAGATCTTTCCATCTCATAAGATCCTGTGGCAATGGTGGTTTGAGCATAAAACACACACTCACTACTGAATCATGTATGTTATGGTTCAGTTTGAACACAGGTGATGAAGAAAGCCTTTAGTTGCCAAGAAGAAAGCCAAATGGTTAAATAATTTTGTTTACTTTCTGATACGTATTTTAAAGTCAAGCAAAATATTATCATTAAATATTTTACAAAAATATAAGCCATTCCAAAACATACCATTATCACAATCTGAAAATATCACCACAAAACTGGAAAGTTAAAGTATCATAGTATCCATGTTTTCTCCAAGAATCTTGACTGGTTTTGAACAAATATCTGTGTTTATTTTTTTTTAGTACTGTCTTCTCACAAGAGCTTATTAATTGAGAGACAAGAAGAGAATTAAAATACGGGTGTTCAAGGCAGGTAATTGCTCCAACTGAATGCTACCTTCATGTTTTGGAGACGTGGAGATGTGCCAGAAGCTTTCAACGGACAGGTCATAAAAACAGAGACTTTCTTCATGTAATAAATGCATTGTTATTTATAACACTGAACTCTCTTATATTCATTCTTCTTACCTTCCAGCCAGTTACACTGTATGTTTTCCCAGCACTTCCTATAGTTATTGTCCTTTCCCACATACCTGGCAATGTAGCTGCATATAAAATAAAATTAATTGGGTACAGGTGCACTCACATATTCCATGCAGTTAGAAAAACTGTACTGCCCCTAGCTCAGAGCTATATGTTGATATATCATTGCAGCATATTAAGCAAGCAATGAGAATATTCTAAAATTACAGCAACTGTAACAAATGGGAAAGGATATAAGGACCAATGTTGGTTTTGGCATGAAAAGAAGGTAAAAGATGAATGAAAGGAGAAAGAAGAGGCAGAAAACGAGAGGAACAGTTTGTGAAAACTACATATTAGTTATCCTCAGCTAAAATGCACAATTATTCGTAAGAAAGATATGATCTGAGAAATGGCTACCCACTCATCTCAAGACAGCATTTTTTTTTCTGATGCCTGGTAATAGCACCATATACAACATTAACTCCGTCACTGCAAGCCATTTAAATAGGACTGTCCAGTTCAGTGACACTGGCTGTCTCAGACATCAGAAAAAGAAAAGCATTGCTAAGACTTCTAACCCAGAACCACACACATAAGAATCAGAAAACTAGCAGAGTGAGTAAATAAATTATGTTTTGTTACATAATTTGAACAAGCCTGGGACTGACTGATAACAGCAGCTAGCTAAGGATGTCTGCAAGGATGAAGGGACACGTGGAGGCCTATCTCTGTCTCTATATTTGTATCTGGTAGGAGACCAAATTCCTTTGTTTCCTTTCCATGGAGATGACAAAGCAAAGGTCTCTTCCTGTAGTTTGCAATTTTTTTTTCTGTACACTGCTTCAGGGAAGCTCTTTTTGGACTCTTTAACTTAATTCATTTTCAACAAAAACAGATAAATCAAGACACACTTAAGTCTGAGACACAAAGTTAGAGGAGGTCATACCACTACTGCAATTGCAGTGGTCAACAACATCCGGCTCCACCTCATCCAGCTCCACCTCATTTGTACGCTTGAACCACTACCAATTAATCTGTCGATTGTTAAATCCCCTCTCTAGGGAGACCAATGAACAAAGATTTTTCCAAATAAACCCAGTGAATATCATAAGGAAGTTTTTGCAGCAGCTACCTGCATTAGACATGGTATAAGTCTTTCAGTTATATGAAAACATGCATTGTATTTTTTTTGAGAACACTTGCCAAGAAAAGAAACAAAACAGAAGGAAAGAAGCTCCTATTCTGTTAGCCCACCCATATTCACTCAACTGCTCCGTGACCTTGAAAACAAAAAGGCAGTGTGAACACATGCATCTTCTAGCTAGCTAGGTCAAGAGTATAGCTCACTTCCTAAAGGCAACCAAACTAGCTCTCACAGACTGCAAAAAGAATTGAATTTCAAAGCTAATGCCCTCTAGCGAGACTGTTTTGCCACATAGTCATAGGAATTTAACCTTGGAGATGGAATGTAACAGCATTTCAAACAGCAGCAGCAGCAAAAGGGCACAGGGGAAGAAGCAGCTCCATTGCTTTTACAAGCAGCGAGTTTTAAATAGAGGGGGAAATTCCTCCGTGCCATATGGCAGCATGATTATATGACACCATAACCAAGTCTGACTACAATTTAAAAAACTAATGAAGGGCAAACCAACACATATAATAAGCCTGTTACCTGGGATGGCACTCAGCTTGTTGAGAGGCTTGTTCAGAATCCTCAATTATGAGATGCAATCTCTAAATCTGCCAGTGCAACCCTAATCATTACTTAGAGGAGGTGCATGGTTTTACGGAAGTCAGATAATGATGAGAAACATGAAGTGCTCTACACTACAGAAAACTGCATCAGTGACAGCACAAAGACTGTACTAATTTTATGATCTGTGGCTAGCAGCCCCTGTTAAATTGTACTAAGGAACCACCATCAGACCCTGTAAATTGATGCAATATCCTTCTTGCATCTCTCACAAAAAAGTCACTGCATTTGATGGAATATGTAGAGGTTAATGTGGAAACACAAGAGTTTTCTCCTGAGGAAATAACACATTCATTTTTTACTTGTATTATCTTTTGTAGACTTAAAATAATCCAAGAGATTTAAGTTAAAAAAGCAGCTCTTGTTTCTTTTACTGAAACAACGTTACTGTTTACAGTAACTGTCAGTGTTACACTGAAGGTTTTATAGTCATTTTAACACCAAAGTTAAAGATGCTATGGGATCTGCTAGAGAATACATACCTAAACCTTGCTGACTAACTGTCCAGGCTTTAACTTGCATTATCATTACATGGTGTTTTTACATTTTATGCTAAACTACAGAATGCCTTTGGTTCAACCGGATTATGTTTTGGTTTGAAGCATTAAAACGACAGTACTGATACTAACGAACGATAGAGTTACTGTTTTTTAAGAATTCACCACCTGTCCGCTGACATGGGTGTTCAGACCTGCTGCCACTGCAAAGGAAAATGGATTACCTTACACCACCCACAGAGATTTTGGTTATGAGGAGGGCTATTTGAATGAACCACCTGCTAAGCCCATGAAGAAAGCTTTAATTCAACTCATTTTACTTTACAATTGGGGTGTGATAAGCCACACACGATCAGCTACTCCGGTAGCTTGTTAGGATGCACTGACTCAGATTACTATCACATGAATATACCTAAAATGTTCCCCTTCTTCCGTGTCTGAAGGTCTTCAAGAAGGTATCACTATCAAGGCATCACAACAGCCGTGAAATTGGGCCACTTTCAAACCAAATTCATAGCCTATGCACCGCCAATAAAATCAGTGTACTGCAGCTGTATGATCAGCAACCGCGTAGCTGGGCTAATAAGTATTGTAAGGCCTTTCAGTACCTAAAGGGGGCCTATAGGAAAGATGGGGAAAATCTTTTTAGTAGGGCCAGCAGTGACAAGACAAGGGGTAATGGTTTTAAACTAAACCAGGGTAGGTTTAGACTAGATGTAAGGAAGAAGTTCTTTACAATGAGGGTGGTGAAACACTGGAACAGGTTGCCCAGAGAGGGGGTGGAGGCCCCATCCCTGGAAGCATTCAAGGCCAGGTTGGACGGGGCTCTGAGCAACCTGATCTAGTTAGCGGTGTCCCTGCTCCTGTAGGGGGGTTGGACTAGATGACCTCTAGGGGTGCCTTCCAACCCAAAACATAGAAGTTACTCAGCATTCAACCTGTGGTAAAGCCAGGAAAAAAGCTAAGTTTTTTCGTGTCTATGTTAAATTTATGTCTCTTGATTTCATTATTTAATCCAATTAGATGTCTCTATTGCACATGACTGAAATGTCCCTTCATTACGACAATAACTGCATCATAACAGATAGTTCATGCAAGATGCTACCATCAGAAACAAAATGTCTGTACTTACAAGAAGGAAGTTTTGGACTTCAGCCAGCTCAAATACATCAGCAGATCCAAACCAAGACCACCACACTAGAAACTTCTACATAAATATTTAACTGTAGCGTTACAGGATTGGGGAAGGAGCTCAGTAACCTGCGCTACGTTCACTTGTTCTGAGACAGTGGGAGTGATTCTGCAAACTTCAGTGAAACTTGGATCAAGAAGTAAAACAAGAGGGCCAGGGACATAACATCTTATTTCGTTTTCTGGTTTGTTTTTGCAATGGTGCTTTATCCCTGTAGCAATACTGCCTGAAGACTTTAGCATGCTTTCACACCGCCCACACAGCGACTTACTCCACTGAATTCAATATCCATTATTTAACACTGCCTCTGCACTTTGGAGGGCCAGTGTTTGTGCACGATCTCCACACTAACCTTTATACTTCTTTTTTCTTTTTATAAGTAGTGGAGCAAAAATAATTGTGTACCTCAGTATGCGTTTCTCTCATTGATTATCTCTACAATGCTTTGAGAAGGAACTTTTAATCCCTGTTCCTTCTATTAGTTCCTCAGCAAAGCACAGTCCAATGCACATACATGAACAGCAGTTACACTTGTCATGGCCAATAAAGTAACTGAGTAAGGATGGGGTATTCAGATGATCATAACTGATTTATGAGCATCAGTCCCACTGGTTTCTACGGATATCTGCTCCAGAGTCATATAAGAGCTTTTGCAAATTCTATTTGGAAATTATTCTTTAAAATATTTTTCAGAAAAGGGATGACTCTCCTCCTTAGAGTCTAAACATTGTAAAATAGCCAAAGCTTAAAGTTTGAGCTCCTTCCAGCAACCATTTTCTCTGAGAGGCAGGTTTACCAACTATTTCTAAGATGCTACAAAAAATCAGTACCTATTTTAATGTGTTTATTTCCTTTATACACCAGCCATTCATACACCTCATCGCTGATGCACAGGGTATCATATTTAATACAGAGATCAGCAATTACTTGGAGCTCTTCTCTGGTAAACACCTGGGATACAAGAAAGTAAGGGACAGTGCATTAATCACAGTATTTAAGGCATACTCTGGAATTACAGAAGCATTAAAGCAGGACTCTTACCTTGCCTATAGGGTTGTGCGGGGTATTCAGAATAATTGCTTTTGTTTTGGAATTAAATTTAGTTGCAGGTTCAG